CCCTGTTGTTTTGGCTAATCGTCAACCCTGGGTAGCTCCAGTGGTTCCATGCAAGGCGCAAGCCTGCGAGTATCCTGGTATGTTGTTTTCTACACGACCAGTAGCACAAGTGCGTCGTCATGGCAACATGTCGGCCTTGGAGGGTGATGCGGTTATCAACCCATCATCAGCTGTGGATCTTTTCAAACCATCCAAGCAAGTTACAAGCACACGGTCACCACCAAAGTTGCTTCGAGGAATGGCTATGCATAAAGCCATGCAGCATGTGTACGGCTTACCGGCACCAACGTCTACTACTACTACAGCAGCAACAACAACATCATCATCATCCTCATCAGCATCATCGGCATCTTCATTACCTGCATCTTCACCAACTGCATCTTCATTGTCATCTGCATCTTCATCATTGGCATCATCATCTGCATCATTGGCATCTGCATCAACCACATCATCATCATCATCATCATCATTGGCATCTGCATCATCCACATCATCATCATCTGCATCTTCTTCTTCATCATCATCATCATCATCCATTGACGAGCTTTGTAAGTATTCTTTATGAAAGGATCACTATTTCAACAATACATTGATACTAATTGATCCATTTTTGTAGGCGAAGCTCTCGACAGGCTCGACATTTATGAGCCAGACATCGACGTGCCGGATGCTGTTCCTGGCACTCCTGAACCACAAGAAGTTGTAGAGAATGGTAAGTGAATTACATATTGGAATTGGTACCAAATGACGTGGTTCCATATTAATTCAAATCTCTTTTATAGAGGACACAGCTTCCTCAGAGCAAGCACAGGCCACCCAAGACCTGCCAGATGCAATCATGGCATCTCCACCACCATCACCACCACCATTGCCACCGCTACCACCAACACCATTGCCATTGCTACCACCACCACCGCCACCGCCACCAATTTTGTATACCCAAGAGATGCCACAGCAAACAGCCATCATCTATCCGGAAATCTTGCCGGAGGTAGTAGTAGCAGCAGTAACAGCAGCAGCAGCATCAGCAGCATCAGCAATACCTGTTGCAACAAGCACAGGTACCAGCAACAACCGATCACGGTTGCAGATCCGAAGACCGATTATCAGGCCTAGAAGTCGCCTACGATTGCAGAGAATGAGTGGGATGCCACTAGCCACACGTCCAAGGCCACGACTACCAATACGAAGGCCACTATCACCACCTCCAAGGCCACCGTCACCACCTCCAAGGCCACCATCACCACCTCCAAGGCCACCATCACC